GTATCATGCAGAATAGCTTCAGTGCCCTAAAAATCCTCTGCCTATCCATCTCTTCCTCTCCTCTAACCCATGGTACCCACTGAGGTTTTTTATTGTTTCCTTAGTTTTTGCCTTCTCCTAAATGCCGTATTGTTGGAATCATATAGCATTTAGCCTTTTCAGATTGACTTCTTAACTTGGTAATATACATTTACATTTCCTCTATGTCTTTTCATGGCTTGCTGGCTCATTTCTTTTTAGTGCTGAATAATATTCCTTTGTCTGCATGTATCACAGTTTATCCATTCACCTACTGAAAGACATTTTGGTTTCTTCCAAGTGTTGGCAATTATGAATAAAGCTGCTGTAAACATCCATGTGCAGGTTTTTGTGAGGACATAAGTTTTCAACTCCTTTGGGTAAATACCTAGGAGCATGATTGCTGGATTGTATGGTAAAAGTATGTTTAGTTTTTAAAGAAACTGACGAACGGTGTTCCACAGTGGCTGTACCATTTTACATTCCCTTCAGCAATGACTACTGAGAGTTCCTGTTGCTCCACATCCTCATCAGCATTTGGTGTTGTCAGTGTTCTGGATTTTAGCCACTCTCTTAGGTGTTTAGTGGTACCTCATTTTAATTTTCAGTTCCCTAATGACATACAATATTGAAAATCTTTCATATGCTACTTACTATATCTTCTTTGGTGAGATGTCTATTCGGGTATTTTGCCCATTTTTAAATTGGGTTCATTTTATTATTGTTGAGTTTTAAATGTTCTTTGTATATTTTAGATAATAATCCTTTATCAGATGTGTTTTTTTTGCAAATATTTTCTCCCAGTCTGTGGCTTATCTACTCACAATCTCTTAACATAGTCTTTTCCAGAGCAGAAGTTTTAAATTTTAATGAAGCCCACCTTATCAATTATTTCTTCCATAGGTCATGCCTTTGGTGTTATATCTAAAAAGTCAATGCCATACCAAAGGTCATCTAAGTTTTCTCTTGTGTTATCTTCTAGGAGTTTTATAGTTTTGCATTTTGTATTTAGGCCTATGAACCACTGAGTTACTTTTGTGAAGGGTATAAGATTTGTGTCTAGATTATTATTATTATTTTTTGCATGTGGATGTCCAGTTGCTCCAGCACTATTTCTTGAAAAGACTCTTTGCTCCATTGTATTGCCTTTGCTCCTTGTCAAAGATCAGCTAACCATGTTTGTGTGGGTCTATATCTAGGCCCTCTATTATGTTCCATTATTCTATTTATCTATTCTTTCATCAGTACTACACTGGCTTGATTACTGTAGTGATATAGTAAGTCTTGAAGTCAGGTTGTGTCAGTTCTCCAATTTTATTCTCCTTGAATAATGAGTTGGTATTCTGGATCTTTTGCCTCTGCACATAAGCATTAGAATTGGTTTGTCAATATTCACAAAATCATTTTCTGGGATTTTGATTGGGACTTCTTTGAATCTATAGTTCAAGTTGAGAAGAATTGACATCTTGACAAAATAGTTTTCTTACCCAGGAACATGGACTATCTCTCTATTTATTTAGTTCTTCCTTGATATCTTTCATCAGAGTTTTGTAGTTTTTCATATAGATCTTGTACATCTTTCGTTAGATTTATAGTTGAGTATTTCATTTTTGGGGTGTTAATATAAATGGCAATGTGTTATTAATTTCAGATTTCATTGTTCATTGCTGGTATACAGGAAAGTGATTGACTTTTGTATATTAACCTTATATCTTGCAACTTGTGCTATAATTGCTTATTTCCAGGAGTTTTTTTGTTGATTATTTTGGGCTTTCTATATATATGATCATGTCATTTGTGAACAAAGACAGTTTTATTTCTTCTTTCCCAATCTGTATATTTTCTATTTTCTTTTCTTGTTTTATTGCATTAGCTGTAACTGCCAGAATAGTATTAAAAATTAGTGGAGAGAATAGACATTCTTGTCTTATTCTTGATCTTAGTGGGAAAGCTTTGAGTTTCTCACCATTAAGTATGATGTTTGCTGTAGTTTTTTTGGTAGATATTCTTTGTAAGTTTAGGAAGTTCCTTTCTATTCCTAGTTTGCTGAGTTTTGTTTTGGTTTTTTTTTTTTTTTTTTACCATAAATAGGCGTTGCATTTGTCAAATACTTTTTCTGCATCCATTGATATGATAATGTGATTTTTCTTCTTTAGTTTTTTGATACGCTAGATTACATTAATTTTCAAATGTTGAACCATCCTTGCATATCTGGGATAAATCACATTTAGTCATGGTGTATAATTGTTTTTATACATTGTTGAATTTGACTTGCTAATATTTTGTAGAGGATTTCTGCATCTCTGTTCATGAGAGGCATTGGTCTGAAGTCTTTTTTGTAAAGCCTTTGTCTGATTTTGGTATTAGGGTAATGCTGGCCTCATGGAATGAGTTAGGAAGTATTCCCTCTGTTTTTATTTTCTAAAAGAGATTGTAAAAAACTAATATAATTTCTTCTTTAAATGTTTGGTAGAATTCATGGGCAAGCTTATCTGGGGCTTGTGCTTTCTGTGTTGGAAGATTATTAATTATTGATCTAATTTAACTAATAGATATAGGCCATTCACATTGTCCATTTCTGTTTGTGTGACTTTTGGCAAGTTGTGTCTAGGAATTGGTCCGTTTAATCCAGATTATGAAATCTGTGGTCATAGAGTTGTTCATAATATTCCTTTATTATCCTTTTAATGCCCATGGTATCTGTATGATGTCCTCTACTTCGTTTCTGATATTAGTACTTACCATTAAGATACTAGTCTTACCTTTTTTTCTTATTTAGCCTGGCTAGAGATTTATTGCTTTTACTATCTTTTCAGAGAACCAGCATTTGGTTTTGTTGAATGTTTCTATTGATTTCCTGTTTTCAATTTCATTGGTTTCTGCTTTAATTTTTATTTTTTTCTGCTTTCCTTGGATTTAATTTGTTTTTTTTTCTCCTAGTTCCCTAAAGTAGAAGCTTAGATTATTTATTTCAGATCTTTCTTCTTTCATAATGTATGCATTCAGTGCTATAAGCTTCCCTCTAAATGGTGCTTTCACTGCGTTCCACAAATTTTGATAAACTGTATATTTTAAATTTCTCTTGAGATTTATTTTTTGACCCATATGTTATTTAAAAGTTCATTAGTCTCTAAGTTTTTTGAGCTTTTCCAATTATCATTCTGTTATTGATATTTAGTTTAATTCCATTATGTTCTAACAGCATACCTTGTATGATTTCTATCCTTTTACGTATTTTAAGATGTATTTTATGGCCCAGAGAGTATTCTATCCTGGCAATTATTCCATGTGAGCTTGAGATGGATGTGTAATATGTTGTTAGATGAAATAATCTATGGATGTCAATTATATCCCATTGATAGATGGTGTTGTTGAGTTCAACTATGTCTTTACTGATTTTCTGCCTATTGGATCTGTCCATTTCTGACAGTGGTAAAGTCTCCAATTATAATAGTGGATATATCTGTTTCTCCTTGCATTTCTATCAGTTTTTGCTTCACATACTTTGGTGCTCTGTTGGGTGCATACATGTTAATAATTGTTATGTTGTTTTAGAGGATTGACCCCTCCATCATTATGGAATAGCTCTCTTTATCCCTCCTAACTTTCCTTGTTCTGAAGTTGGCTCTCTCTGAAATTAATATAGCTACTCTTCCTTTTTTAAAAGCAGATTTTCTGCTTTCTTTTGATGAACACTACATGGTATTTTTTTTCTTCATACCCTTACTTCTAAACTTTTTTTTTTTTTTTTTTTTGAGGCAGAGTTTTGCTCTTGTTGCTCAGGCTGGAGTGCAGTGGTACGATCTCAGCTCACTGCAAGCTCCACCTCCCGCCTTCAAGCGATTCTCCTGCCTCAGCCTCCTGAGTAGCTGGGATTACAGGTGCCTGCCACCACGCCCAGCTAATTTTTTGTATTTTTAGTAGAGATGGGGTTTCAGTACGTTGGCCAGGCTGGTCCCAAACTCTTGACCTCAGGCGATCCACCCACCTCAGCCTCCCAAAGTGCTGGGATTACAGGTGTGAGCCACCACGCCTGGCTTACTTTTAATCTTTATGTGTCTTTATATTTAAAGTAGGCTTCTTGTATACAACATGTAGTTGGGTCTTGTTTTTTAATCAACTCTGACAATCTCTGTCAGTTAATAGGCATATATAGACCATTGAAGGTTAAAGTGATTATTATTATAGTTGGATTATTATGTAATATATTTTTTATGGTATTCTATTTGTTCTTCTTGCTCTTCATTCCTATTTTGTCTTCTACACTTGTTCTGCTTTTGTAGTTTTAATTGAGCATTTTATATGATTTCATTTTCTCTTCTTTCTTAGGACATGTCACATTAAAAAAAAAATTCAGTAGTTTTTCCCCAACGTTTGCAATAGACATTTACAATGAATTCAAGTCCAATTAACAATGTACTGCTTTATGAGCAGTGCAGGTACATTATAATAACAAAATATTCCTAACTCTTTTGTTCTGTCTTTTGTATCACTGCCATCATTCATTCACTTACATATAAGCATACATTAGCATATATATGTATGTTTATGTGTGTGCACATATATATAAAACATATAAGTGTACATAATTGAATATATCATTGCTATTATTTTGAACAGTTTTGTGTTAAATCAATTAAGAATAAGAAAAATAAAAGTGTTATTTTACTTTCACTGATTCATTCTCCATTGCTCCTTTCTTTATGTAGATCTGAGTTTCTAACCTATATAATTTTCTTTTGTTCTGAAGAACTTCTCTGAAGAATTTCTTGCAAGGCAGGACTACTTGCCAACAAATACTCTCAATTTTTGCCTGAGAAAGTCTTTATTTCTTCTTTGCTTTTGAAGGATAATTTCACAGTGTAAAGAGTTCTAGGCTGGTAGTTTTTATCTCCATAGTTTAAATATTTTACACCACTCTCTTCTTGCTTGCATGTTCTGAGGAACAGTCAGGTGTAATTCTTATTTTTGCTTCTCTACAGGTAACGTGTGATGTACCCACTATGTCTGGGCCCTCCTAAGTTTTTAATTCTCAAACTTGTCCACACTGATCTTCTAGCAATTGCAGTTCTGGTTTTCTAACTCTGGCACTGGCTCCTGAGAAAGAGACTGCTCATAGACTTCTGCTCCAGTAAGTTGTGATTCTATTTGTCTGTCTCTCCAATTTGGGGGACAGTGATTTGTCCTGTGACCTCACTTCTCTGACAGATCTAAGAAGAGTTGTTGATTTTTCAGTTTGTTTGGCTTTTTACTTGTTGTTAGAATGGTGACTTCTTAAGAGCCTAACATGCTGGACCTGAAACTAAAACTCTTGATGACTTTACTTTTTAAGATGAGTCTGATGATTGGATAGGTTGAGAGTTGGTTTTTAAACTTTAAAAAGTCATGCCATCTTATCTAAAAAAAAACTATGAATTTATAAATTTATAAAAGTAATAAAATTGATAAAAGGGGGCTGTTCTGGTTGAATTGTGTGTGTTAGTGAGGGAGGGAACCAGGGTTTGTCCTCTCAGCCCCTTTCCTTATGACAACCCAAATAGCCTCTTCAGAGCTCCCCGTTTGCAAATCACACTGGTCTTTCCAGCATGAGAACTACCAAATGATCTCTGACAGGTTTTGGAGGGTATGGTGTGAAATCTCTTGGTGCCTGGAGTGCCAGTCAAGTGAAGGAGGAACAGCACTCAAAGGAGTACAGACTTTAGATATCAGTCTTAAAATTGCCACTGGAAAGTGAAGGGGGCAGAAGGGTGATGCAGTTGGAATCAAAGTTAGAAATCTGTTTGCTGGCAAAAAGACCATTTTGCAACTTGCCTTTTTAAAATGACCTTACCCGTGTAGGGTGTTATTTAGTTAACCCAGCCTAAGGGGATGTTTTAAAGATGGAGAATTGCCCTGGTGATGAACAAATATGAGAAATAAACTTCCAGTGGGGCTGGGTTGCCTGCTGACTGTGATTTCCTGATGATCTATAACAATGGTTATTCACTAACAGCTGGCGCATGTCTCCCTCGGACAAAGCCACTGGGAAGCACAGGCGCTCTGATTGGTGAACCAGAACCGTTTCCCTGGTAACAGTTAACTAGCACGTGTTTTATTGTTTCCAACTGCTTTTCCTGGGGTATTTGCAGGTGGTGGGAGATGCTTTCTTAAAGAGGGGTCATAACCTCATGAACTTTCAGATGTTGCAACAAATTGGGGAACAAAACATTTTTCCTTTTTCAAATATATTAAGTAAATCTTATTACATAGCATTTTCAAGACAGATGCAGCCCAACGGTTTTTCCTTTTTGCCATTATTTCCAGATGTTATCAATTTTAAAGTCAGCGTTCCATTTTAAGAACAGGATCTATAGGAAGGTGATATGCAATCAGTAGAGTATTATTTTGCCCTTTTTGGAGGTGTGTTCTGGTTCTACATTTTGCCATAAAATGTGAGATCAAACCATAAAATGTGAGTGTATTTTTAATTGGCCTTTTAATCATTTGTATATTTTGCCTCTTCATTAATTAATTCAATGTTTTTGCCTTTACCGGTCGTTTTCTTTGTCATTTTTAATGCGCCAGAAAAATTATAGTGTTTTTATAAAATACAAGACTAAGTAAGACTTGATTATATTAGAATTTTCTTCTGTATTTATTTGACGTTTTTGAAAGGCTTGGTTAATTTCCAGATGGATAGCTCCCTCTTCTGTCTGGTTTGCAGAATTCACATCTTTTGAAAGCAGAGATGGAAGATCAAGTGTGTATCACAAAATTCTTTATCTTGGCTGCAGGCTGAATGTAGTTACTATATGAAGAATAACAAATTCATGTATTGGAATATGGAAAGTGCTTCCTTTGTAATAATTTGGTTTAAAATAAAATTGTCTATCTTGCCTTAAATGCTGGCTAAAAGAAAATGAAAACATTTCCTTAAGTTAATATTGAACTTTATCTGCAGACATCCCTGAAAAAATGCAGACCTGATCAATCACTTGACTGAACTCTACTTGAAACACTTGGACTTTGGTCAAATAAGCATTTGCCACTTGATTTATACAGCATTCCAACAAACGTCCAACTCAAGTCTTCTCTTGAGCCTGATCTGCAAGGTTGTTTCTGGTAAGTGTTCTTCATGGGATTGCAAACATGCACCTACTTATAAATTAGATCAGTGGCATTCAAATACTCTTCTCCAGGAACTCAGAATTTAAAAAAATTTAAAACATTTCTTTAAAAAATGTTTTTCTTTTGTTTCCTTGGATCCAATTCAATCACTACACCCAGAATTAGGGTTATGCTCTGAAAGTGAACACAATAAAATCATAACCTAAGCTCATAACCATAGAACCAAAAGAGCTAGTAAAATTATTTATGATAATAAGGATACTTATGTACAGTCTGTGTTTCTAGAGATACAATGACATGATGCATTTTTACTGGGAAGAGGAAAACATTAATTCAGACTCACCCTTCTTGTTTCTCTCAGTGGCAGGGTAAAAGGGGGCGGTGTCACAGAACGCTAATTATTTGAATATATATTAAATGAGCACTGTTTGCAACTCTCTGCTTTTGTTGAGGTAGGCATAGCTCAGGGCCCTCTGAAGGAGAAACATTTTACCTCACACACTCCTGTTGGTACCAAGTCATTGTATTCGTTCTTTTTAGATTCATTAGAGGAGTACACATGATATTTTTTATATCAAGGAATAATTTGAATATAGTGAAATGAGAATCAGAAAATTAGTCATTATCAAAATTTGTAGACTTAAGCATATGTTTGAAAATTTTAAATTACTTTCTTATCTTCAAGTAGGTAAAATAACCAAGTCATAAAGTATTAGATAACGATTCACGTGGAATGAGGGATGCTGGACATCACAGGCTGTAGAACCCTCAGTTCAGTCTCTCCTTTCACAGATGAAAAATTAAGCCCAGAAGGGCAGTTGTCTTGTTCGGGGTCCTGCAGCTAGCAGGTGACAGAGCTGTTTTCTCTGGCCCTTATTCAAAAGTGCCCTTTTGCTCAGGCCATGCTCTGTGCAGTGGTCAAGGAGTTCTTCCCTAAGGGTACTTGGCTGTGGCTCCATGAATACGGATTCTGTACTTTCTTCCCTCCTCCAAATGAATAAACTCTGGCCCCATTTCCCAGATTTGCATTCCAGTGACTTACTTCGTGAGTGACTTTGGACTAGTTAAGCAACCTCTCTGTGCTTGTTTTCACTTCTACAAAATGAGGGTAATAATAGTGCATCTCTCAGAAAGTTAAGATCAGTGTTGTGTGTGGCACAGTGCCTGGTACATAGAAAGCTCTCAATAAGTGTTATCTATTATTTTTATTATTGTAATTTTCTGCCTATTTTTCTCAAGTATTTTCTCCAGTGCGTCTTAATTTATTCTGCAGCATGTAATAATCACATTCTGAAATGACTGAAGGTTGTACACCCATGTGCATAGCAGCCTTATTGACAGTAGCCAAAAGGTAGAAGGAAGCCAAATGTCAAACGGCAGATGAATGGATAAGCAGAATGTGGTGCATATACATAAAATGGAATATTACTCAGCCTTAAAAAGGAAGGAAATTCTGACACATGCTACAACATTGATGAACTTTGAAAACATTATGCTAAATGAAATAAGCCGCACAAAAAGACAGATACTATAATGATTCCATTTATATGTAAGGTACCTAGACTACTCAAATTCATAAAGACAGAAAGTAGAATGGTGTTTGCCATGGGCCTGGAAGAGGCCTGGAATGGGGGAGGTGTTATTTATGAGTATAGAGTTTTTGTTTTGTAAGATCAAAACAGTTCAGGAGATTAGCTGCACAATAATGTGAATGTACTTAACACTACTGAACTGTACTTTTAAAAATTACTAAGATGATAAATTTTATGTTATGTGTATTTTACTACAGTTAAAAACAACAACAACAAAATGACTGAAAGGCTTAGTGCACTTAGAACATACTAGTTACATTAGTTAGCCCTGGATATTTTGACTTCTTGGTCCCAGAGCTCTGGGCCAGTGCTGTAGGTTAGAACCAGAAAGGATTTGGTTGGAGACTAAGTATGGTATGTGGTCATAGTACTCAAACATTGTATCTGTTTTAGTTCTATTTCCTTCCTCTAAGATTGCTGATTTCCTGCCAGAGATGGACTTAATTTCCAGAGCCTTATAGTTTATGAACTTGGATGAAAATACAGAAGCACACTTTCCCCATAGACACATGAAGAAACCCCTCAGAGACTCTTCAAAAAATGCAAACACATAAAAAGCAAATTTGATTCAGCAAGTTTGCCATTAACAAAACCTCCTTTGGGGACAGGGGTGGTATAGTGATAGTATAGGCTGTTAGAAAGAAGCTTAGAAACTGCCCTATTGAACAAAGCAAGCTAAAGGCAGACAGAGAAAATGAGAGAAGAAAACTGCATTTTAGTTTAGAATATTTTTTGAAATTTCTGTTTAATTATCATTATTATCTACAGAGATGATTAAAAGCATCAGACATTTCCAGGATAAAAACCAAGCACACATGGAAAAGGATTTATGCTAAATTGGCATTTGATAATTTCTTACAATAATCTGATGTAAGAGGTGTCTTCCTTTTATTTCAACTCAAGAATTCCTTTCATCTTTTACTCAATAGTCAATATCCTTTTTATTTCAATTCAATAACATTTACTGAATATCTAATATGTAGTACAGGCCCTGTGTCTCAGAAAAAACCACTGCGGTAGGGTTTTTAAAATAAGTTTTAAAAGAAGGTAAATATTTTAAAGCTTAAATTTTTTTTGAAGTTTAATGTTCAAAATACTGAACTATACTGAAAATCATAATAAATGGTCATTCTTCCAAATAAATCATTCTTCCCTTTATGATTGTGGGATTTCTATAAACTAAATATTTGCAGAAGAAATTTTTTCAACTATATTGTAGGTAGAATGTCATCTTTTCAGATATGCTGGTTGGGAATAATCACTACAGTAGTGGAAATGTTTGCTCAAGCCAGCATCGAAAAGAGACAAGAGATTTCCCTTTATCAGCTTCTCAAAAATGACAACTAAAATTCTTAGTATTGGGACAGGACACAAGTCTAAGTCTGTCATTTTTTAAATGCCACATTTTTGAAATAACAATCAGGTTTTCACTTTAAGTGTATTAAATTTAAGTATATTAATATTTAATATAAATATTGAAATATAATTATTAGTTTATTCAGAAGCAAAACCCCAATCCTAATTTCAGCATCATCTTAATAGAAAGCTTGGGTTTATGAATCCACAGGCTTTTGATTAAAATCCCAAGAGGTCAATAACAATCTTGTAATCACAAAATATGCATAAAGGAGAACATCAGACTTACCAAGAAATATAGCTGTAACAGTGCATGACAAAAGGCACATTTTGGAGACATGATTCAATTTCCTGTTTTTCAGCATCAGGTACTTTATCTGACCATCTGAAGCCTTTAGAAATAGGTGAAAAAAAGGGGTGAGTTTTTAATATTAAGAGCTATGAAAGGTGAGAAACAGGCCTTGACAAACACATCTAAACAGATCCATATATTTCATAATAGGAACAGTTCTCTTATCATTCTCAATATTTCTAGTTGAATAATTATCCACTACCCCAAGGATTCTTAATAAAAAACATTTTACCCTTTTGAGAGAGAGGCAGCAATGAGTTCATTTTGAAAGGTTCACATTTAGCTTTCAGCCAAAAGTGAACCTTTGGTGTCTTTTGAATCCTTTTTAAGTCTTGAAACCTCAGAGAGAAACCAAAGAGAAAGAGATCAGATCGCGGCCTACCTCTTTCAGCCCTTGAGAATTCCCTTTCCAAGTAGTTTCTTAAATAGTGAGGCTGCATCAGAACCCCCAGTTCTTCTCCTTAGAAGTTATTAAATCAGCAGAAAGACCGACAATAATGGCAAATGAAATCTAAGTTTTGTATAGGAAACAGGCAGGCAGTCTACACTTTGTTATTCACTTGATAGACAGAGCCATTTTGACAGCTCTAACCTTGGAAACCACAGGTCCTGCTGAGCTCAGCAGGAGTCAAACGCTGAGTACCATCTGTCAAAGCTTTATTTTTCCCCCTCCTCATCCACGCCTTTACTATAAGATGCTAACAAGAGCCCTGAATGAAAGTAGCTAACTACAGTTAAACTTGTGTGCATTGTAACGCTAATGTTGGGGTAAGAAACTCACTCCCGGAATCTACCAAATTTGAGTGAACAGAATTGAGTATTCTATGTCTTTTCTTAATGGTTATCAATGTTGGAAAAGTGTGGGTTGAGAAACTCCATAACCACACTCCAAACAACTAATGCTGCAAAATAAGGAAATTGCACATCATCTTGTATGTTTTTGCCAATTCTGTAGCTAAAATAAATGGTTTGGAAAGTTCTCAACTCTAAGGCCTTTTTTTTTTTTTCTTAATGTGATTTAATTAAACGTGCAAGAACAACAAATTAATTTCTTTCTAAAAAATAGAGATTTTGATGCGTTGAACTTGTGTTTTATAAAATGAATCTTATTCAGATCAAACACTCCCTCGCTCTGGCATAATCAATTCTAAAACATTAACAGGCCTAATAATAATAAAATCAATTAAATCAAGTGTGGTATGGCTCATGCTTCACTTGTGTAGAAGACAGTATATCAATTGAAACATAAAGGAGCTCACAAAGCTTTCCTTTCCACTAAGCACTACCAAAATGCTACATATTTTTTAAAGTACAAATTTATTTTGCTTGCATTTAAAATTTTTATATATTTAATGAAAAAATTAGATATCAATTTAAAAATCCTTAATTTGGAATGCCATTTTTAGCACACAGTTCCTTAAAAAGTGTAGAGAACATTTCCATAAATGCAAATTTTAAAAAAGTAGCTTAGAGTTAAAACGCTGAAAAAAGCTGAGATCTTTTTAGCAGAATTATTCCTAATTTTAATTTTTAGTTATTCTACTTGAAATAGTAATGTTTCATTTTTTTCTAATCTTTTTCCCAATTCTCCCAAATGCTGAAAATAGTTATAAAATATTACTTCATGAGAATAATACTATATATATGTACTAGATATACTATACTATAGCAAGTAATTATTTATTGTTTAGTAGTTAATAACATTGTCAAGAAGATACTGTGAAGAAGTATTATTAATCAA